GAGGGTATGAAAAGCAAGCTTGGAAACTCTTCAACCAAGAATAGCACAATGACATGGACCTGGAAATGATACAACTATCACAAGGTCACCTCTATACCACTGCTATGCCACCAATGGGCACCTTGTTGCCTGACAAGATTGCAGAAATGCCATCTCAGCCTCCATAGGCAAAATAGATGCGGCTGCTCCTGCCATCAATGGAAGAACATTCCAGATCCCACAGCCATTGCCTTAGGTTGCTCATTCCCACACTTAAATCACAGGCAAGTACACCCAACTAGCAGGTCCAGCAGATCCTGTGTCATGCCACTGGCAGTCGGGAAGCCTGGGAAGCGCAGTGTTTGAAGATTATGCCATGAGAAGGCAGAACTGAAAATGTACAAACCGTCAAGGAAGAAAGAGGCTGTTTCAAGAAAGCCGTGCATCTCTGGAAGCCAGAAGTCCACAACTGGTTGGAATATTCTATATGCAGGAACCGGCTAAAGATGTTGGGTGGCTGAAAAAAAAAAAAAAAAACAAGAAAAATGTCAAGTAGCCCCACAAAATCTTTGCATTCTCATTCTTCTCATTGACTCAGAAGCAAACAAGCTGTTATTTGAATTTATAATTCCACTAAAATAAAAACTCCATGATGGCCTCTGGCTTCCACCTGTTGTTTTTACAGATGAATTTGAAATGCCTAGAACAGCACCTGGCCTATAGCTAGTGCTTTACACACATTTGCTGAAGGAGTTAAAGGAATTCACTTAACACTCTAGGACAAGAAAAAGCTTCGGGGGGACTGTGGGTTCAGAAAACCAGGAGAGGCAACCGTGATTTGAACTTGATTTAGTCTCCTAAGTAGGAGGAGGCAGCAGTGTAAACTTCGTTCACCACCTGTGAGAGTTCAATCATTTTCTAGAGCTGGAAATTTAGCTCAGCGGCATAAGCACCTGCCTTACAAGCGGGCGGTCTTGAGTTCGATACCTGATACCAATAAAAAAAGGAAAAAGACAAAAAAAAAAAAAAGAGAGAGTTCAATTATTTTCTAATAGAGCTAGGAAACCCTGGGCTGGATGGAGGTCAGGGTGGCAGAAAATCCAAAATGAAATCCAGGGAGCTCACTGTAAGTCTGTTAACAATCTAGTTTTTGACACCAGGGGTCGTTTAGGAATTTTCACTTACTTATATTCTAGAATCATGTTTTATGATTCCATGCTGTCGCTTGAGCCATATTTCACCTATCTTACAATTAGTAGCTGCAGAGATCAGGATTCATATTTCAAAAAGATATCCAGTTCCTATAGCAATAAGCCATTTTCTTCCTGTGACTTGGCAAGCAGAAAATGGCGTGACCTGCGACAAGGGGCAGAGTGCAGCGAGATGCAGTTGAGACCTTTAGAGTGTGCCTAAGCAACGCAGGGCGGCAGTGCCCGAGGTTTCGAAAACTCTTGCAGACCAGAGCTACTTATTAATGACCTGCTCCCAGGTAAACAAAAGGTCCACGTGATAGCATAATAGCTTCCTCTTAGCCAAGATCATTCTCTTCTGAAAGTAGAGTCTCATATTTTTAAAGTTTCTTATTTTCCTTTGCAAAGGGGAGATTTATGAAAATCAGTTCTGTACACATGCTACCTTTTCAAATCTGCTTATTTGTTTGTTGATGGAGTTTTGGGGCTAAAGTCTCTGCTCTGGAGAACTCAATGGAATGAGTTTGGTCTTTGGTCTCGCAGGGAAGGCGTTTTAATCAGCCTGGCCACACAGGGAAGGACAGAACAAAAGAGGCAAGACTTGTCTTGTAGAGATGGAGAGAAGCTGTGGGATTCATACACTAACAAAGGCAAAGGTTGGAAAGTTGCATAACTGTAGGTTGCTCAGCTGGCAGCAAAGGTATCTGAGCCGAGTCCTGATCTGGTTGGTGCTATCAGGACTGATCCTGCCAGGTTCTGGCACAGCCGTCATAATTTCGGGGGATGTTGTGACTCCCATCTGGACAGGACAGCTCCTGCTTCAGAGCAGGCTGTTCCTATCATGGAGAGTCTCAGTCACTTTCTAGTCACTGGGACACAACACCAGACACTCACAATCTAAAGAAGAAAGGTTTATTTTGGCTGACAGTGCTGTATGCAGAGATTTCAGTCATAGTTGCCTGGCTCCAAGGCAGGGCCACAGTGTAGAGAAGTAGAAACAGTCCATGGCATGGCAGCAGGAAACAGAGATTAAGGGAGAAGGAGAAATGGACAGATTCAGACCACACCCTAGTAACGCACTTCCTCCTAGCATCACAGTTAGCTCTAAACTCATCAGAGGACTAATTCATTGATGAATATCAAATCTCCAAGATTCAAACACCTCCCCAAAGGCCTACCTATGAAGGTCTGAGGCTTTGGGGAGACATCCAGAAACAAAGTGTAACAAAGACCAATTGCTGCTGCTTGGGGAGTATCTTCATCATAGGGTGGTCTGCAAGGTTCTGCTTTTCTTGGAATCCAAGGTGGCTGCAGGTTCAGAAGAATGACTGGAGACCTCTAGGCACTGGACCAAGGGGCTTGGAACTGGACGTTATTAAAGCTGGCAATTGGATGTCCCTGTAAATCTCAAGAACTACTTTAGTTTCTCTTCTTTGGGTATTCTCAGTGTTGAAGTAGATGAGAATGGCCAGTTAAAGCCAGGGTGAATAAATCTTGCATTAGATGCTCCTGCAAGCAACTCACGTATTTACACATAAGGCTGAGCAGGATCAAGTGTCAAGGCCATGCAAGCTCCATCTTATCTTTAGTTGCCCATGGGGCATCTGCAAGCCCATTCTCTAGATCCTTGTTATGCATAAATAATACTCTGCCAACCAGAATTCAGATGCAGCACCCAGAAACCACTGTTTCTGAAATCATCTATTTTTAAATGAGAGAGAAGAAGAGGATTATATATGGGACATTAGGAACCAGAAAATTTGGAAACAAATGGATGCGCCAGCCTGAGGCTGGGTATTAAAGAAACTAAATGCCAATGGAATATGGTGACACACACCTATAATCCCAGTGCTTTAGGAGGATGAGGCAAGAGGAATACAAATGTGAGTCCAGCTTAGATAACTTGGCAAGACCTTGTTTCAAAGGAAAAGAAAACTGGGGTAAAGATGTAGCTCAGTGCAGAGGCCCTGGATTCAATTCCCAGTACCATCGAAAAGAAAGGAAAGGAAACACCACACCGGGGCTGGGGATTTAGCTCAGTGGCATAAGCACCTGCCTTGCAAGCAGGCGGTCATGAGTTCAATCCCCGGTACCGATAAAAATGAAAAAGACAAAAAAAAAAAAAAAAATTTAAAAAAAAATAATAAAAAATAAAAAAAAAAGAAACACCACACCACCAGTGAACCAGAAGCTACTACTTCTGCCACAGCTAGCTGACCACTACTGGACCTGAGTTCAAGGACACAACGACCTAAAAGGCAGCCAGGGTTTAGGAAACAGCTCTGAGATCTTTGTAAGCAATAGAGTTGATGGCAGGGGGAAAGATCGTGGCAGGAATAGATGATGAGGGAGGAAAGGGAACAAGAATTCTGCCTTAGTCGTAATCAATTCTAGATGTCTATTAGACACTCGGTGGAGGTACCAAGTAAGTAGCTGGATATGCAAGTTTGGAGCCTACAGGTAAATTTGAGGCTTAAAATTTAAGGGGATGCATGTTATGTAAGACAAGCTGCAATTTGCTTTTATTTTTTTCTTTACCTTTGAGCTCAGCAACTTCTTGAGAGACTATTTTAGTGTTCTACTTTCCTCTTTTTCTCTTTCAGTCTTGAAGCTCAAGTTAATCTAGCTTCTCCCTCCAAAATTCCACTCACAGTGCTCCCAAACAGGACCTGGTGTCACCTGAGACCACAATTTAAAGCACTTTTTACTTTCTCAGTTCTTGCTGCAGCATTTGGCATTGTTGACTGCTTTCCACTTTTTCATGACCCTCAGGGAACAGCCCTCCATGTTCCAGGCTGGAGCCAGGAAGAGGTCATGAGCGAAGCAAGAGAAACTAGCGCTTTCAATGCTCACTAAGAGCAAAGCAACCCAAAGCAGGCCCAGCAAGCTGATCTAACTGGTGCCTGTATGACCCAAAGAAGGCTGCAGGCTTCTGATTCCAGGCAGGCTCCTGGCACGGCCACCGCAGGCTTTTGGCTACATGGTGAGGAGATCTTGGATTCATTCAGATCACATTCGTGGGGGAGGTTTTGGCTGTGTCCTCAGCCCAGAGCTTGCATTTTTAATTCCAGGAGCTGCATTACCAAGGCACCCACATCTCCAGCAATCCCTACACCAACACAGCTCAAAGACTCCCAACTGGATGAAGTTTTAGCGTTTCCGGAAACATAAATAATTCAATGGTCTGGAAAACAACGATTAAAAACAAATCTGGCCTATTTGTTAGGCGTTATTTCAAGCAAAGCATACCAAGGGTAAACACATCAATTTATTTCTTCCGTCTCTCAAGAGAGTGAAGTCCTCTGAGTTGGCACACACTGGCTGGAATATTGTGCTTTATTGTAGAAACACATTTCCTCCTGACACAGAACCTGTGCAGAGAAGCAGCCCGGCTAGGGAGGCATCTGGAAAAGACCCTCCGTGGAAGTCAGGCAGTTGCTGGACACTCCCCACTCTGGGTGCAAACATGAAATAAGCAAGCGTGCGGACACACACGGACACACACACACACTCCCAGGGGCCTGCACGGCCTGCCCCGCCCTCAGGCCCCAGAGCCCAGGGGTGGGGAAAGTCAGCGAAGGCCAAGGCAGGAGGACTTGGGACTTTCACTTGAGACAAGCTAGGCTGCCATCAGAATATAGGATTGTAGGTCATGGGTCAAAGATGGCAGTTTGCACTGGGATCCCAGAGAAACCTGGCCAGGACAACTCAGCGCGAGACTGTGCTGGGGTGGGGGGGGGTCCTGGATGGGGCGTGGCCGGGGCGGTGCCTGCCAAGCAGGACCAGCAGCGCTGCCCGGGCGCGTGGGCGTGGCCGTGGGCGGGGTTGGGCGGGGCGTGGCGGGGCCACCCGTGAGGGCTCCTGCAGAGCAGTTCTCCGGCTCTGTGGCTCCGTGCTGGGCCTTCCGGCTTTGAGTGCGGGTCCAGGCCCCGTTAGCAATGGCGCTGCGTGCGGCCGTGTTCGACCTTGATGGGGTTCTGGCCCTGCCCTCGATCATGGGCGCCCTCAGCCGCGCGGAGGAAGCCCACGGGCTGCCCAGGTAAGGGGACCCGCGCCGCAGCCCGCAGGACGCTTGCCTCGGAGTTGCTTTTGTGAACTTCACCCCTGGATGAGGGTTGTTTTAGGGCCTGAGCCCTGTGAGAGGCTGAAATAATGCCCTGGTCCTAAAATACCAGTGCGTGTCAGTGGACCCGTTGTCTTTCTAAATGCTAAGTAATTAAAGGTTACTGAAGATTGCTAGAGATTCCCGAGTTCTTGCACCTTACATTGAAAGCTTCGAAGGGGAGTGGAATTATCTGCTGCCGCTTCATTCTCTCATTCTCTCCCTTGGACGGGATCTTAAAACTTTGGCTGTGGTTTAGAAGAGGAGAAAGTTCTCTCCCAAGGTCTGTGATGCAGGGGCATTGGTCGTGGTGACAACCTGTGGAGGCTGCCTCCTGCCTACTAACCGGGAAACCGGAGACTGATAATGCGGTGCTCAGGATGCGGGTCTGTAACATCGGAAAACACCTGTAACAATACAGACAAACCTGCCAGATCACAAAACCATACCTTAGAGTTCCAGCTAAGGGAAGGAAAAAGCCTGCATACAGAAACCTGACTGGAAGAAACCTACTAAAGTATGCTTGGCATTGTTAATCCCAGGTAGATTTATGAAGTTGTTATTTTCTTTTAATCCCAGGCAGTATTGTGATTTTATTTTTCTATGTTTTTGTATTTGTCAATATTTTTTAAAACTTGCAAACAGGTATTACTCCTGCCATCAGAAGGGAGGGGTGCATTTGTATTTAAAAAGCTAAAAAAAAAAAAAAAGAAAAGATCACAGTGGGACAGCAACAAATAGCAATCCTGAATTACAGGTGAAAGAGAGGTGCCTTAGAAAGTTCTGCCACATCAAGGGTTCTAGAATTTTTATGATTCCACGGCCAATAGGGCTTTTTAACCTTTATCCTATAAAAATGACAAAAGGCTAGGATCTGCCAGTGAGCCACATCCAAAGCGGGCTCGAAGACTACAGCATTCCTCATTTCTGTGGAGATGTGGAGACAGAGGCTTGGGAAGATGAATTTGCTCCAGGTGACAGAATTAACCTGAGGCAGCTCCGTTTTTCTTTGCACACACAGGCATACACACCACACACACACACACACACACACACACACACACCTGGCTGCCTCATTTAGCTTCCTCCCTCTGCAGTTCATGACTTTGCACCTCCTCAGTTGCCATTCTGGGAATGGTATCAGTTTGTTGAGTAAATATGTCATCCAGGAGCATAAACAAGCTGGCTACAAAGTCCATGATCCAAATAATCACACTCCAGGTAATTAGGATTTGACAGAGAACCAGATTTGGAAGTGGAAATCCCCCTGTGAGCCACGCTTGCTCAATTCAGGTCATTTGCTTCAGGATTCTAGGATTCTTCCATACTGAAGCCAACAGAAGGTGAGGAAGGAAAAAGGAAGTCGTTTCCAAGCAGTCTTTTGTAACAATAATGTGATCTTACTCCATTTTGACTCATAAATTTGATCCAAAAATAGAAGACATAAAGAGGGGGTAAGCTATGAGGTCTGTTTGCACCTGTGACTTCACTGAAGTTAGGGTGATTGTGACTTACGTACAAGGCATGGGATGGGGTGCACGTGTGGGCTCCTGAAAGCTGCAGGTCTCCAGAGACGTATCAGAACACAGTTCAGTGCTGTCACTTGGGCCACTTGTTTAATGTGTACCTTCCCTTGTATGTTTTATTAGGTACTAAGCCTATAAATTAGATTACATGTAAGGTAGATGATCAGGTATGTTTTTGGTACTTTTTTAATTTACAAATTTTTACTCATATGTAAATGACGCATGGGGCATATACCATTTATTTGACCTGGCCTTCCACAGCTACCTTGGGGACCATGGTTAGAATTATTTCTGGTTGACATAAAACAGGTCACAGCAAGGCCAATTAAACTCAGGGAGTTAGAACATGTACCTTGACCTGATTAGCCTATCAAGCTTGTGAACCAACCATGAAAGTGTTAATATGGAAGGTGAGCAAGAAGGACTTGCTGTACCCTGACCAGTTTTTACATGCTCACCATCTGGCGTGAAAACTCAGCCAAAGTTCACGTGAGGACGGCACAAGCTCGAGTGATTCAGTGAAGGAAGAGAGTAGATCCAATCAGGAGAATCAGGAAAAATGTAAATGCTGGAAGGAAGGCTGACGGGAAGGCGATAGAGAGTAGTATGTGGGGGTGCATTGTAGTTGCAGGGGTCAGCATGTTCAAAGGCTTGGAGTGGAAGACATGGGATGTGCACAAGAGCTCTCAGTGTTCCAGCTAGCTGAGAAGAGGCGGTGACCATAGTGCAGCCCTAAGGCCATGCTGATGAGCAAGCAGGTCCATACTTCAACAACCAGTGAGCAGCTCTGGAGGGTTTTTGACAAAGGGTGGCAAGGGAAATGATAGCAATGGATCATGGGGTTAGTGGGTGTAGTAATTGGTGAGAGGCTCACAGTAACATAAAAGGCTTGGGAGCTTGGAAGTGGAACAGTGCAGAATGATAGAAAGCCTTCAGGGACTGGAACTGAAGACAGCAAGACCTTGAGCTTGGGGACTGGAGAGTCCTTGGCATGGGAGATGAAGGACGTGGGCTGCAGGGCCCAGTTGAGGTTGTGTTGTGAGGCAAGGAACGTGAGGGATCTTTTTGAGGGCATGGAGATGTTCTAACACATTTCAAAAATGTGATAAAGTTTGCAAGACTCTCAGTTGACTACAGGCGATTAATTTATACACTGAAAATGCGAATTCAATGTGAACTTGAGTAAAGCTATACAGAGAGCCCTTCCTGGTCCTTGTCTCAGTCCTGGAAGTTTATATTTGTGATCCCATGAAAAAGTTATTGGAACTGCAAATAGTTGATTTCAATCCACCACTTCCAGTGCAACCCACAACAAGAATAAAGACACTCGGTAAAAACGAAAAAGCCAAAAAAAAAAAAAAAAAAAAAAAAAAAAAGAATAAAGACACTAAAACACATTTATAGTTCCGGGGATCCAGGGGTCTCAAGTCTGGCCAGGATGAAAGTTCAACAAAGGCCTCAACTCATGCTTAAATTTGGATTTTATTAAATTGTGAAGAAGGGAGTGGTTGAGGATGAGTGACTGTAAGAATGCCAGGAAATACATGAGTGCTGTGAGCTGGGCTAGGTAGGAGGCCAGAAAGCACCTCTGTGATATACAGAGAGAAGGATATACAGGAAGAACAATCTGCATAACACAATGGAGGTAGCATTAATATTTTGGGACCTGGTGCTTCTACTCTGATTTGCCAACTTCTCTGCCCTGGGAAGGCCCAGCCTCTTATCTTAAGGCTCATCCCAGCTGACATTGTGGAGTGGTGGCTCTATATTCCCCATGGCTGGGCCATGTTTTTGGGGAGTCCTGGGGTAAGGAAACAGAGACTCTCATCTGGCTTCAAAGATTACGCATCAGCACCTCAACCAGCCCTGTTTACATTGCTTAGAGCCAATTGAAGGGAGAAGGAAATGGCCCAGCCAACTCTGTACATATCAGGACATGGAGACAGGGCCAGGTTTAGACAAAGTGGAGGTGACTGCTCTTTGTTCCAGGAGAACCATCCAGTTGGGCCTCCACAAGGCTGTCTGGTAATATTGATGCAAAGATGTGGCAGGACTTGCAAGCAGGCAGTCATGAGTTCGATCCCTGGTACTGATAAAAAGGAAAAAAACGACAAAAAAAAAAAAAAAAAAAAAAAGATGTGGCAGGACCACTGCGGAAACAGGGAAGTTCAGCAAGCAAGTATGGGGTGTCTGTCCCTTTGGATTTTGCCTTTTGGATTGAGCCTTGTTACTGTCTGAGGAGGCCTAGTCTGATAAAAGTACTGACTGCTCTCAGAAATAAAACTTCCTTGTTTGAAGGACTTGTTTTCTTATTCAGGGGTGGTAAATATTTGTAACTACCTAGTTTGTTGAAGTTCATAAGAGCCAAAGTATATTTCACCCGATAATGGACTGATTGGCTTTAATAAGAAAACATCTACAGAGGTTAAAAGTCAAAGATCAAGGTCTTGGGACTGGTTTCTTCTGAGGCCTCATTCCTTGGTTGTAGGTAGCTGTGTTCTTCTGTTTATGTCCCCATATGGTCTTCCTGTGTCGATTTCCTCCTCTTATAGGACATCGGGCATATAGGGTTAATGCCCACACTAGTGGTTTCATTTAATTTCATGACCTCTTTAAAGACACTGTCTCCAAATGCAGTGTAGTGACATTATGAGATACTAAGAAGATGACACCAAGATAAGATGGTAACTCTATGTGCATAATTGAAACTGGAGAAAAATCTTTGATTCCTTTTGAAGAATGTGAACTAGAAAATGGCTCCATGCAGACAAAGATGTCAACCTGGCACTTGTATGTCCTGGTCCCCAGCAGCTCACCTTTCTGCCAACAGCCAGTCATCTGTAAATGTAAATCATGCTTGTCCCCGGTGTGCTGCCATGATAAGTCACCAGAACATCTGTGACGTGGTTGTTCTCATGTCTTTCAGGGGCTTTCTGAAAGACGCTTTCCAAAGGGAGGGCATGCGTGGTTCCAGCGCCCGCCTCATGAGAGGAGAGATCACATTTTCCCAGGTGAGGGGAACCAAGGGGAAAAATTCTCTGCTGCTTCCTGCCTCCCACCCTGATGTAAGCCCCTTGAGGGCAGGGCCCTGTCTTCTTCACCTGTGTGCCCTTTGTGTTGTGTAACTCACAAGACCAAGCAGAAGGATAAGAGACATCTGAAGGGGCATCGCGGACCGGTGTGCAGTCTCTCTGGGCCAACTAAATACTTTCAGCCTTTCGTGAACCAGGCCAGGGAATGCCACAGTCAGACAGCTGTTCAGGACAGAGCCATCAGGGTTGTTTGTAGTGGTCATCGCCTTCAGTGGACTAAGAGGTGCCTAGTGGATTAGGCATGTGTACTTCTGGATGTGCCTGGGTGGGCCAGGGGGGGTACAGGCATGACCTTGGGTCCGTCCAGGCCCTGGCCCCTTCCTCTCAGATGCTGTTCCCCCACTCTGCTTTCTGGCTGCCAGGAATTAAACAGCTTTGCTGTTCTGTGCCCTCCACCGTAGTGTGACCGGCTTGGGGCTGCCGACCACAGGCTAAATCTTCTGCACCTGTGAAGCAGACACACCTCTCCTCCATTCTGATGTGGTTGTCAAGTATTTTGTCGCAGGATCGAGATTCAGTGGGTGGACTTGGGAGTCAGCGATCAGGGCCTGCATGATTGGTCTCTCTTACAGACCATGTGACCACAGCCAGTTCCTTCATTTCCCAGAGTCTCAGTCTGGCCCTCTGCAAGATGCAGTGACATCACTCAATCATTTCACAGGGTGTTGTGAAACACCTTAAATGCTTAACACAGTGCCTAGCACATAGTAAGCACTCAATAAATAGTAGTTTTTCTTCTTAGTATAACTTCAGGTATCTCCAACAAACTCTACCATCCACTGGAACTCTCTGTCAGTGTTTCTCTAAGAAAGTAAGATATCGAGAATCTGCTTATATGCACCCAGCTTAAAAATGCTATATGTTGAAAAGTTTTAATGAATCTCACTACTCTAATAGAGAATTTGGGACCCACTGTGATAGAAAGCAAATCTTATTTTTTTCTGCGTGTCAGTGTGGGGAGTATTACATGAAAACAGTGACAAGATTACTGGAAACAAGCACTTCTGAAGTTTTCACCAATTGAAAAAAAATGGTAATATTCTAGGAATGGAGAGGAAGAGAGAAGTGCTGTATACTTCTAATGAATGAGCGATATTAGGGTGAATTTCTAGCGGTCAGTGTGAAACCCCACACCCCACTCAGGCTCTTTAGTGGCTTCCTGTGACTGAGTGGAGCTCCTATGAAACTCATGGAGGTGGAGAAAGACGTCTGAGAACCTGAATTCTGTTGTGGCAAAGACCCCCTGAGCCTGCATTGTTCTGAAAAGTCATACTTTATAAGTGAATGTCACCTTTCAACTGTGCATTTGTGTATACTATGAAAACAAAAAAAAAAAAGCACACACAGGGACTATTCAGAAGAAAATTCACAAACAGAACACACTTAGGTCATCAGTACCCACATCAAGAAATGAAGTATTCCAAGCACCCTGGCCCCTCGACGATGCGCCCCATGGATACCACCCATCCACGATCACCTGCCACTTGGCCCCTAACCCAGCAGCACTCTTGCCTATTTGGGATTTTGTGTAAGTAGAGTTGTGCAGATGAAGTCTTCTCTGTCTGGCATCCTGTATTCCACGTTACACGTGTGGGATTCATAGAGGAAAGACAGGCAGCAAGAGGTAGTTTTACTCTCTTGCCACCATGTGACTGTGTCTCTATCACTAACCCATTCAGTTATTAGGGAGTGTCCAGCAGGTGTTCGCTGTGGGATTCTTACATAGCCTACTGCTGTGATATTGCAAACCATTCTGCTCTCAGTGAGTATGTTAATTGCTAGGGCTATGTCTGCCACTGTCACACATAAACTGGGTAACTTGTATACAGATTCCCTAACTTTACTCAGTGTTGCAGGCTGGAAAATCCAGGATCCACACAGCATTCCTGCCTGGGCAGGACTCGCTTCCTAGTTTGCAGCGGACCTTCTTCTTGTTGTATCCTCACATGGTAGAAAGCAAAGAGGAAAAGCAAATTTCCTTGTGTCTATTGATTAGGGCAACAGTTCCCTCATGGGACTCCATGTTCCTGATTTAAACACCTCCCAAAGCCCCACCTCCAAAAGCTATCAAAAGCTTCAGCATATGCATTTTCAGAGTGACACAGGTATTTAATCCACAGCACTACAGACTACAGTGGCTTAAGCAGCAGGCATTTCCTACAGTTTTGTAGGCTGGAAGTTCCACACCACTGGAACTAGCAGAATTGCTTTCTTTCGAGGTCTCCTTCACTTGCCTTCTGGTGGCATCCAGGCTTAGCTCTCCCTTTGTGTGTGTGTGTGAGTCAGCTTTCTATTACTAGAGTGAAACACCTGAGGCATTACTTTATAAAGAGAAAAGGTAACTCACAGATTTAGAGATTTCAATCCAAGACTGGACGGCCCCATGAGTTTGGGCATTGGCATGGCCATGCAGCAGAACAGATGCTCTACATAAAACCCTTTGCATCAGGGAACAGGAGGCAGAAGAGGGGACAGGAGACAAGGTCCCACAGTCCCTTATGGGCATGCCCCAGTGACTTAAAACTCTGCCTTCTAGCTGTTCCATCACCTCCCAATGGCACCACCTTGAGGACCAAGCCTTTAGCACATGGACTTCAGAGGACAGGACCCATATGACCATCACAGCAGTGTCTCCATCCCAGCTTCCTCTGCTTATGAGGACTTCAGTCATGTTGGATTAGAACCCAGCCCAGTGACCTCTCTGTGTGTGAACTATCTCTTTAGAGGCCTTTTCTCCAAATACACTTATATATTGAGCTACATTAGGTGAACCTGTCACACATGTGAGTTTTGAAGGGACATAAGTCAAGTCCACAAGACTAGGTACTTGTATCATTTCCATTTGGGGCATGCTAGTGTCTAAGGTGGTGGTCCTAAGATAAGCAGCTTTCAGGAAGAGTGGAGCCCTCATCAAAGGCCCTAGAAAAGCGACCCCAGAGATCCAAGCTGGTCCCTTCCACCAAGTGAGGAAAGCAAGAAGTGACCCGCTGTGAGCAGGGAATGAGCACCAAATCAGACTTCAGATCTGTGGGAATATCTTTCTGCTGCCTAGAGGGACTCATCCTGTTGTCTTGTTTTAGTGAGACAGCAATGGTAGGCACAATGCCACAGTGACAACGCTGATGCGTCCCGTGATCCATCCGTACTGCTGGGAGTGGGTGTTTCTCGAGAGGCGGGGTCCCCAGGAGGGGCACTGCTTGGTCACAGGGAATGCATGAGTGTAGGCTTAGTGGAGACTGGTCACAGCTCTTCTAGTGGCCGCATCTACTGATGTACTCCCTGAATCACCCCCACAGTGGGTGCCACTCATGGAAGAAGACTGCAGGAAGTGCTCTGAAGCCTCTGGAACCCGCCTCCCCGAGAGCTTCTCTGTACACCAGATCTTTGACAAGGCGATTTCCATGAGAAGCATCAACCGCCCCATGCTTCAGGCAGCACTGACTCTCAGGAAGAAGGGTAAGGCTCCCATGCTGGCTGCTTCCTGGCCTGACCACCAGGGCCAAGGCCAGACTACAGCTAACTGTGTCTTGAAATCTTTGCTCTTCTGAGCCTTGATGAAAACCAGCCCTTAAAGTCGGCAAGATTTATCAAATGCCAAAAGCAGCACCATCAGAATACTTGGAAAAATGAGAGAATGTGATCTAGTAAGGCAGTTTATGTCAGTGACTGTCTTAGGAGCATTTTTCTATATGTCCACTGGTAGTAGAAATGACCAGAATGACCTCAAATTCGTCACAGATTTAAAAAAAAAAAGGCCTTTTAAGCAACTATGATTCTGTCAACCTCTGCATATCAGAGTGACTGAGCAATAAACTGGCTGGCACGGGTTTAGGTTACGTCACATAACCTAAGACATCCGATCACATCAGTCCAGTGACATTTATTAGTGTCAGTGCCTGGGACTTCTCCATTGGCACATGTGAAGTTGCCCCTCCTCTCTTACCAGCAGACTTGAATGGTGGAAGCTACACCTGCTGTCTTAGTCCATTCTGGGCTACTCTAAGTGAGTACCTGAGACCAGGGTTAGCTTAATTCTTCCTGTTCTGACCAGAAGTCCAAGGTCAGGGGCCCATGCCTGGTAGGGCTTTCATATTACATCCTACCATGGCTAGAGACAGAAGGGCAAGAGATGCAAGCACATTCAGCAGACCAAGGTAACTCAGTGACAGCCTCAAGCCAGTTTATATCAGCACTACTCCATTCATCAGGGCACAGCCCTGGAGGTCTAATTGGCTCCCAGCACACTTGCACTGGGGATTACATTTCCAACACCTGCCTTTGAGGGACCCATTCAAGTGATAGCACCACCTCCTGTCCTGTCTGTAGTCCCCCACTTCCTGTTCTAAGGAGGGGACTTCACCATGAACTCATCTGTGTCTTGTTTCTAACCCTGATTGGCAGGTGGAGCCAGGGGACAGAGCTGCCTCTATTTGTGCTTGTCTGGTTTTGAATGGGGATGCAGTTCCATGGCCACAGCAGGAAGCACAGCCAGGCAGGGTTTGCAGCAGGACAGCCTACAAGGAATACCGAACCTTTACCGTGTGGCTCTGATATCTGTTCCTCGGTCTTGTTCCTTATCTGAGCTTTGGTTTGCTCATCCATAAATAAGGGATTCAGATCTGCCCTTCTCACTCAAGAAGTGCTAAGGGCCAGATGAGCTGAGGAATGTTAAGCCACTTTGAATGCTGATGGACAGGGAGCTGGGACTAACCCTCCCCAGTCTTCTGAGAGCCCTTGTCCTGCCAGTTCACCCTGGACTCTGTGCCACGAAGTGCTTCTTGGTAATCCTCAGCTCGCTTGTTGAAAGCTGGGTATGCAGAAGTGGATGTAAGTGAGCAGGACTTATCCGGCCCCTTGTGGGTGCCCCTCGTGGGGCATCTGGACATCTTAGGGCCAACTTCTATAGCTGGTTTGTTCACTGGTAACATTTTGCACAGGATTTAAAACCTGCATCCTCACCAATAACTGGCTGGATGACAGAGCCAAGAGAAGTGATGTGGCCCAGATGATGTGTGAGCTGAGCCCACACTTCGACCTCGTGGTTGAGTCGTGCCAGGTGGGGATGATCAAGCCTGAGCCTGAGATCTACAAGCTTGTCCTGGACACCCTGAAGGCCAGTCCCAGTGAGGTATGTAGATGTTTCAGTGGACAGGAGTGTGGCAGAGATACCGCAATCACAAACACTAAGTGAAAGGATTTTGGCCCACAGGGGTAAGGCCTCAGGAACCAAGGAGCTTTATCTTGCCCACCCCTAGGAATTTGCCTCTGGCACAAAATGAATACCAGTGAGACACCTGCGCATCCCTAATGCCCTTCAGGCACCACCCCCAACCTAAGCTAACATGTATGCCCCTACTCCACGTGTCAGAGGGATTCCCAGACCCCGGAGAGATCGCCTCCCCGCCCCGGGAGGGGGAGGGGAGAATGCCAAACCCCGGAGGATCGGGGGCTCTACCCACATTCTTAAAATAAAGGTCATTTATATTTCATACTTCTATCTTTTCAGCCGTGCCACAATTCTGTCACTAAGGAGTTTATGTTTGGGATCTGGCAGGACAGTTCTCAATGTATTTTTCCCAGGCTAGGATTTCTTCCAAAATGTTTTTTACCCATTTTTCAATCTAGAAAGTTCTATCAGAGGTGAGCACTGGCCTCCGTGTGTGTGTCTCTTAAAGGACTTGGGTCAAAGCAAGTATTATCCAAAGCTGTTAGACTAACTGCCTCAGTTAACTAACAGAGAGACAGACCCTGAGAGACTTTGCCAAGGCCACAGGTCCAGTTAGAGTCACCCCACCAGTGAGCGAGCAGGAGGGTTCCCATAAGCTGTACTGTCCACATGGTGAGTGGACCATAGTTTAATTATTTTCTGCACATTCTGCCCTTCTCTTGCTGGCCCTCTTGCAAGAGCTCATCAGAATGAACCCTGAGCCCGGTCCCTGGTCCTTTGCCTGTCCGGTCCCAGGACCTTTACTTCTCTCTTGTACATGTGGCTTCAGCCGATCCGGGGGCCCTGGGTTTAAGGACACGCATGCATATAACACTCTTCCCTTTCATGGCTTTAGGTGGATGACTTGCTTGGAATCTGCCTCTGTCCTGGATCATAAATAAACACATTCATGCTTTCTTCTGTAACTTTTAAGGTCTTTTTTCCCCCTTTCATTCTTTCCTTTTAAATTTAAATCTTTGATCCATTCAGAGTTTATTTTGGGATAAAATGCAAAGAAAGGCTGCCCTCCCCCGCTTCCCCCCACCCTGTCAACGGGCCATTCATCCCAAGGTCATTCAGTAACCTTCCTCCCTGGCTCCTTTATTAGAAGCTAAATTCTCCTTTGTAGTTGAGCCTATTTTTAGGCTCTCTTCTACATCACTGGTACCAAACTCTTCTACTTTTTTGTAAGTTTGTAATTTGTTTATTATCTGCCACCATTAGAGTTTTTTCACAGGCTCCTTTGAACTTTTGTAGCTATCGATTTTTCTGGATGAATTTTATGATCCTCTGCATAAGATTATTTTCTCCGCAGTCTTCTTGCAGTTACAAAATTGGCTGCAACCAGTAGGTGCGTGTGGGGATTTCTGTAGGTCCATGTGTGTGCTTGTGTAATTATATGTTTTTAATTCCAAGAAGAAGCGGAAAACAGAGTAGAAGGATTCTTTATTTCCGCACCATAAATATCCCTTCTACATTTCGTGTTTCTTCCTGATGACTTCTTCCTTCTTGTCACACAAGTCTTCTCCTGGTGACATCCACACTCTTTCCCACTCAGGTTGTTTTCCTAGATGACTTGGGATCTAATCTGAAGCCGGCTCGGGACTTGGGAATGGTCACCATCCTTGCCCGCGACACCAGCACGGCCCTGAAGGAACTGGAGAAAGTGACAAAGACACAGGTAAAGTCAAGTCGGGCTTCCCTGCACTCCTTTGTTAATGGGGAAAAAGTGCTGAGCAGGGGACCGCATTCCTGGTGCTCCCGCATCTTGATCCCACCCCTCACCTCTGCAGGGAGTCCCTCGCCCAGGTATGGGGAGCACTGTGCCTCTGCGGTGGGAGCAGGACATACTCAGAGCACAGGCATTTACACCAGTGTGTGTCAGAAGAACCAGAAAAGGTGTCTTCACCTTGCTTTTTGGAGTAAATAATTCTTTCTTCTTTCTCCTCCTTTTCCTTCTCCTCTTCTTCCTTTTCCTCCTCTTCTTTCTCTTCCTCCTCCTCTTTATCTTTCTTCTTTTCCTTTCTTCCCTTCTCCTGTTTCTTCTTTTTGTTCCAAGACAAGGTCTGTGTTGTCCAGGCTGGTCCTAATCTCCTGCACTCAAAGGCTCCCCTGCTTCAGCCTCCTGAGTAGCCAGGACTAACGACATTTTCCACTGCATGAAAATTCTTCCTGTGAGAAGCGCGGTCCTTGGCTGATCCTGAGAGCATGCCACCCACTCAGCCCTGCCTGGCTCATACTGGCCATGTGGCAGTCAGAGGGTGGCTCTTAAGTAGCAACTGAGCCTCATCCAGAAGGACAGGACAGCTGTAATAGTGTCCCCAGGTCACCAGGGGACCAGCTTGCACCTCAGATCTGAGGTACCTGTGTCCTGGCTTGCCCTGAGGCCTGTGGTCACACAGAACCCACAGGGCAGGCCTTCTCCAGCCCTGGCCCTTGTGGTGTGATAGGTGAGGGGGCCAGTACCAGAGCTGTGTTCTCAGAAATGCCCATGCAGAATGCCCGGTCCCTGGATTTGGAGATGGGGTTCTTGAAAGAAGAGATTAAGGTAGAATGAAGTCAGAGAGGGTGGGCTCCAGTCCCGTCAGCTAAAAAGAGGAGGTGGCGTCACCAGCACAGAGGGCTGACCCCATGAGGACATGGAGAGAAGGTGGCCAAGGCGAGAGGAGAAACCAGCCCTGCCCACACCTCCAGATCGTGAGGGAAGAAAGGTTAAGCTTCCCAGTCTGTGGCGCTGTGTTATAGTCCTGAGCAGACAAATGCAAAGGCCCCTGGGAGTCTGTTTTGGCTCACGTGAAGAAGACCACTTTCCACAGAGACACAGAGTGATAGAGCTGGCGAGCTGCTGACCCTCTGAGGGTCACTGCGGAGCAAGTGCTGTTTGCGTTGGAATCACAGGGGTTTACAGCACGCAGCAGTCCTTCCTTGCTCATAGGAAGCTCGGTTCACAATGGCCAGGGCTCACTTTCCCTGGCACAGGGAGAGGTGCTTACAGGTTTCAGTGTCTTTCTCTTGGGTCTTCTGAGGTCACAGCACACACCTGGCTGGCAGACAGAGGACTAGAGATAGTAGAGAAACTGAGGCAGTTTTCACAACCATGCTGAGAGGCCGTCTGCACTACAGTGACCAGAAAGAACCCAGTCACAAGAAGGGAGGCAGGAGATGGGAGTGCAGCTTTCCCCAGAGGGGAAGGGAGGTGCGTCTGTTACCAGCAGTGCTCAGGAAAGGGTGGCGAAGGTGACCTCTGGGGACTCCGGTGGGAGCCTTCCACTCATGCTGGGAACAGCTCCTAGGAAGATGTGCACTACCTCTGTCTCTCCTTTGTGCTTCCAGCTTCCCCAGACTCCAGCCCCTCTGCCTGTCCCCTGTAGCCCCAATGACGTGAGCCATGGGTACGTGACTGTAAAGGTGAGTCGAGGAGGATAACCTGCAGAGGTGTTTGCAGACACTACCATTTTCAAAGTGACAGTTTTTTACCCCAAGTCCCATTCCTCGGAAGTTGATACTCCACATGGTCCCTGCCTCAGAAACTGCAAAGCAGGAAGACCGGTGAGTCCAACCGCGCCGAACAGCAGGCCATGGGGCCTTAGGAAGCCCAGGGCGCAGAGTTCTGTGCACATCTGGCCTGTGTTCTGGATGATAGAAAAATTTTCATTCAGCAGCTATTTAGGGAGCACTCTCTGTGTGCCAGGCATGGGCTGGGTACTGAGGGGCAGTGGTAAACAGGGAACCCATGGTGGGAGGGTTAATGGAAAAGGCCATTAGGTACCAGGCAGCCAGGGCCACAGTAAAGCCAGGCCATATGCACAGGGGCCCCTGAATCCTGACCCGGCCAGCAGATCTACGCCAGACACAGCCTCAGAGCTTTGGGGTGTCTTCTTGCCTCACTTTAGGTACTAGTTACTTCTGTCTTTGCCTTTGGCCGCACATCAGTGGGTCTGAGGCTGTGTGGGTCAACTCAGGACCAGAACATTACCAGCTTGCGAGCTCCGACCGAGTCTGCCTCACTGCGAGTGACCTGGCTGCACTGAGTGTAGCAAAGTCTGAAAAAAAAAATTCATTATTTCAGAACCAAACAGCTTCTGACTGCATAGCAATGGAATTCTGCACATTACCATGAGTATTATGGTCTGCACACGATCAGGCCCTGGTAAAACAGCAAGTGAGTTCATCAGTAGACAGTCACTTAAGAGAGCAAGGCTACCTTGTGTCTTTCTGTTGATACCCAGCCTCGTCCGCATGTCACGGAGAAAACCACCTGTTACAGCGGCACAGATCAGTCATTGTCCCCACCAGCCAGCTCCCTCTACACTGAGGTCTTTGGCTGAGAAAAAGCTGAGTCACATGAGATCTAGTGACCCAGTAACACAGCACCGGTCAGGTCTGCAGAAGGGGTGTCCAATCCGTCTGGCCTAATAGAGATGTGGCGGTCACTGCCTCTCCCTCTTTCCTGGCAGCCTGGCGTCCGTCTGCACTTCGTGGAGCTGGGCTCTGGCCCTGTTGTGTGCCTCTGCCATGGGTTCCCTGAGAGTTGGTTCTCTTGGAGGTACCAGGTAAGGGAAACCGAGGGAGGTCAGGCCACCCCAGTTGGGGAGGGGAGGAGAAGACAGCTTCTTGACATCCTTCTCCACCTGCTGGGAAAGCATTGTAGCGAATGTGCAAGGGCTTTGCCAGCAGAGGTGCTCTCTTAAGTCCTGTGGCACGGGCGCAGTGCACAAACCCACCACTGTTTGTGGCAGCCCCAGCAGGTGGACTCCTTCTGACGCTGTGGTGAAGAGGTCAGGTGTGTGGGATGGAGCCACTGGCAGGAAGGGGACGGGGAGAAGCAAGCACGCAATGTCAGCTTGGACTGTGAGACTATGCCGCAGTGCACCTGAATTATTTGCTTTCCAGATCCCTGCTCTGGCCCAGGCCGGCTACCGGGTCCTAGCTATGGACATGAAAGGCTACGGTGACTCGTCCTCCCCTCCCGGTGGGTTGGTGTTCTCCATCTGTCCTGTGTGGCTGAGTGTCTGCCTCTCCCTGCTCTCCACCCCACCGAGTGGTCCTGTCCTAGGGCAGAGCAGGCTGTCTCTGAGGGGATCGGACTCATCCTCTCCTTTCCTGCAGTGTCTGGTGTCTCTGCACTTCGGGCCCCAAATGTTCCCAAAAGAAATTCAAATCCTGTTCCTGAGGGAGCCAGAGGGAGCCAAGTCCTGATCCCCAGTGTTGTGGGATGTTGGAAGTACTGTATTTCTTCAGAAAGCTTCTTATCTTGTAAAACTGAAAGCTGAGTTCACGAAATAACAAACCAATGCTTCCTCCCCCAGCATCTGGCAGCCCTGTTCTACGTTCTCACCATGGGTTTGAGTCTTCCAGGTGCCTCACAGAGGTGGAATCATGCAGTAATTGTACTTTGTGCCTGCTTTAGTTCACTTAGCATCCAGGGTCGTCCATGAGGTAGTGTAATGCTGGCTTCCCTCTTGGTTAAGATAAATGCCCTTTCATTGCGAGTGTCTGCCACATCCTGCCTCTCCATCCATCCACCAAAGAATGCGCAGGCTGCTTCCACCTTTTGGCTACTTTGCATAGAGCTGCTATGAACATGGATGTGCGAATACCTGCTTGGTTGCTGCTTTCTGACTTTTCAGTATGCATGCAGAAGTAGCATGGCTGGATTCTGCGGTAATTTTGGAGGACAGATTCTTAGCACAATGTCGCAGTGGGAATCTATCCAAGAATGGGCATTAGTTGGCCTGTGAGCACCTGAGACCGCATGCAGGCTAACAAGCATTTTCCTGGTGGGTGGAGTCCTTTCAGAGGTGTCCTCAGCCCGATGCTCAAGATCCTCACCATGGAGGTAGAAGCATGGTTCCTGGTCACTCTGAGAGTCAGGATGTGGTGGGTGGCTGGGCTGGGTGAACCACATCCATTGCCACCCCTATGCAGAGCTGCCACCGGCGATCACACCCAGCACATCTGGCTGGGATGTCTGCAGCCCGAGGACCTGACCTGGCGCCCACTCGGGTGACCTCTGGGCCCCGTGCTGGATCATGTTAGGAGTGTCATTCCCTTGAGGTGGTTGTGTGGCTCAGCTTAGCCAGCCTCTTGAATAATACAGGAGTTTAGATGAATGGAAAGCCTCCAGCTCAGCCAGCTGGGAAAGTCAGCTGAGGGCTTCCATTCTGTGATTTACCCATTAACATGTTACATTTTTGTTCACATATAGTTCATTCTTCTGTGGGTCTCACAGGCAGAGCTCAGTAATAAAAGGGGAAAAATGCACTATTAATCCGCCAGCATCCCTTGAGCTGGAACCGTCCTGACCAAACAGACTTGTGATCTTACCCTGGTTCCTTCATATTCATATTTCTTTATCTGTCTCTTCCTCCCTCTCTTTTTCCCTTTCTTTTCCCTGCTTTATTTCTCCATCTTTCTCCCTCCTTTCCTGCCTTTGTCCCTCTCTTTTGGAAAACCATAATTTGAACATTAGTTATTGCTGAAAGATGACATGGAGTTCAAAAGCCAAGCATGATGATTTGGAACACACAACACATATACCTCAGAGAACTTGTGTAGACATTTCTTGTCCTTTGACAACAGAATTGAGGTTTAAAATACTTTTAAATTTCAAGCCCCTGTCTCACCTTGTATGAGTGTCTGCTGTTGCTGTGAAGAAGTCTCCGGATTTTCTGATCTCTGAGCCTTCTTACCTGATTGTTGTCTTTTTTGCCCTTCATTTTGACACTTTTAAGAGCTTTTATCTGTTGTATCCTGAAATTGTACCACATTGTGCTCTAACATAGATTTTTTTTCTATCATTTGGTGAATGCAAGTATCTTTCCATCCTTAGAACTTTTCTTGAATGAATTCTGTGAACCATTTCTTCCTGTTTTTCTCTGTTTTCAATTCACCTTCTAGAATTGTTATTCTTGTTAAAATGTTCATACTCCCCAAAGAAATGTACATATGTGATTCAAACCTTACCAAAACTCCAATGGCGTTTTTCACATAGGTAGACAAATATTCTGCAGTTCACATGGAACCAAGAGAGGACACAAAACCAAATTAACTTTGAGACAGAAGAACAAAACTGGAAGCATTTGAAATGTGTACTTCCTGATTTCAAATTACATAACCAATCTGCAGTAATTAAGCATGCAATACAGATGTTAGAAAAAGACAGGTAGACCAATGGAACAGTATACAGAACTCAGAAATAGATGCACAAACAGAGTATCAGCCAGTCAATGCCTTGGGTACCAAGAACACACGCTAGGAAAAGGACAGTCTCTTCAACAAGTGAAGAATGAAATCAGACCCCTATCTCACATCACACACAAAAGTCAGTTAACATTGGACTGAAACTTTAAACACAACCAGTTCATAACTTGCGCGTGTGTGTTTGTTCTTACAAAGGGATTTTTAAATTTTGTTGGTACATTTTAAATTGTGGGAATAAAATATACTGTTTATTTTTAATTGCAGAAATAGAAGAATATGCCATGGAATTGCTATGTAAGGTAAGAAAGATCTTGGGTAACTTCCATAATATCTTTTCTGTCCTGGGTTTTCTTTGCTCTAAGCTCTGTCTTTGCCTCCCTTTAAATGCTAAGGAAGCATGTAGCATTGCATTTGGGAAGGAATTCTCATGGCAAGTTGAGATGATATTTGTTTGTTTGTTTGTTTTTGGTACCGGGGATCCAACTCATGACCTTGCACTTGCCAGGCAGGCACTTGTGCCACTGAGCTAAATCCCCAGCCCAAGATGATATTTATAAATGACAGCCTACACATATCGGACTGGGAGTGTACTGGGTCACAGATTGGTGATGGAGCCACTGGTGAGGGGAGGAATGGACGGTTAAGTGCTCCTTACCTGCAGGAAGAGGTGACCGTGATGCACTCAGGTACGATCTATGCTTCTTGCCTGACTGCACAGCTCTCTTGAAAATTTTCCAGTAGGTAGTTCTGTGGGCAGAACAAGATAATATCTGTAGATCCAGGTACTTCATTTTGGAAAACATTTCTGTAGCACCAGGAATCTTCCAACAAAGCTATTATAACAAAAAATAAAAATAAAATAAAGAGTTGGTTTCTTTGAAGTGAAATTTTGAATCATTAAGAGATCGTAACTGTCCTGGAACCATCAGTATTGGTTCTACCCTGGCCCTTAAACAGCTGGAATTTTCTGAAACTCAAAATACCGCACGTTGAGTTTCTTCTGCAGCTGGGAGGCAGAGGTGCTGCGGAGATGAGAGCCAGCAAAGTGCACCAAGTTCTTGGTTAGGTTTGCAGCCAGTCTGGGAGCCTAAAGGCAAAAGTATGAAATAGAAAACAGAAAGAACATGTAGTGGTGGTTGGAAGTTTTGAAAAGTATTCAGGGAGTCGTGGTTCTACACAAGAACATCAGCGGTGCCCCTACAAGAAGCTGCAAAAATGTACTGCGTTCACATCGCACAGCCCCCTCACTTTTTCTGTGAAAGGGGACTCAGGTTGCTCTGACCACTGTTGCTGGGCCTCAGTTTTGCCTTCTTCTTCCCGCAGCCCAGCACCTGAGGACGCACACTGCACAGGCAGTGGGTCCAGGTCCTCATGCAGAACCTTGTGTGTGCAGCCAGTTTCTCCAGGCACCTTAAGAATTTCTGAGAAGCCCTCATCTAAATTCTTCATTCAAGGCTGTCATAGTCCACCAGGTTGTTGTGACAGAATGCCACAGGCTGAGCTTCTTAAAGAATAGAAATGTATTTTCTCAGAGTTCAGGATGCTGGAAGTTCAAGACTCAAGTATCAGCAGGATTCGTTTTCTTGGCTTGTAGGGGGCTGTGTTCTCCCTGTGTCCCCATGGGGTCCATGTCCTGTCCTCGCATGTGTCTGTGTCCTACCCCACTCTTATTAGAACACCAGTTACATTGGGTTAACACTCATCTGAAAATCCTAAGAACTTCATTTTTAAAGACCCTACCTCCAAACTCAGTCATAATCTGAGATGCCAGGAGTAAGAGCTTCAATACAGGGACTTAGGAACCTCATCATCAGCCCTAAACCAAATGAATAGAGTAATTCTGATCTGGAAGTGGCTGAGGTGGGTGGACACAATTTCTGATTCCGTTGCTGTGTTTTCTTTCTTAGGAAATGGTGACCTTCCTGGATAAGTTGGTAAGTCATTGCATGGACTTGATGTTTGAGGCTGGATAATTAAAGGGAAGGTGGGTGACTTTGAGGTATCACCTGAAGGAGCCCTGGGCAGAGATAAGCAGGGCAGGGAAGGCATAGCCTTGAGCAGCAGGCAGGAAGAGAGGGTCAGAGACAAAGGTGCAAGAGTGTTGAAGGATTGCGTGGAGTCACTTGTGTGTGAGCGATGTCTTTGCTGGCTGCGAGCCAGGGAGGAGAGCCTTGAGTGTCAGGGGAGAAGGTGGAGATGACCTACTGCTTAATATGTCACATCACTTCTCACACATTAAACTACAACGCTTGCCTTTGACACCAGTGTCAGACTCAGTGATGAAGAGTGAAAACAGATCACCACGGAGACTGGCAGAGCACACACTATGTTCCTGAGACTCCACTCTGTCCCGCCCTCTCCCCACCTAGATTCAGCCGGGGGCACATAGGACACAGGGAGGGCAGTGCCAGGCCATAGATGTAGAGAGGCAAAGTAGAGAGAAGCCAAAATAGTAGGGTTTAGCTTGTGCAGAGGATGTGAGAGTGGAGAGAAGACTCTGGGTGGCCATGTCCACAGTAAAGCCCCGTGGAACACAGGAGGGGAGGGGAAGTGGAAGCCCGTCCTCAGATGTCCCCAGCCCTGTGGGGCTGGGTTGAGAATGTGTGTGTCGGGGACCTCACAGGGGCAAGACCTCCATGGCTGTCCAGTTCTGACTCTGTGGCCATCTTGCTATAAGACTTTGAGTTGGCTGACATTGTCTTGGACTGGAGAAAAAGGACTTGTGGCTGCAGGTCAGCAAGGCCAGGTGTCCATTCCTGGCATGGTCATGAGTGGGAGGTGTGGGAAGTGGCCTGGGTCAGCCACAGGTGAGGTGGTTGTCTGTCCCTGAAGACAGGAATGATAGTGGTATGAGCAGATGAGTTCCTCATGGACGGTGTCCAAACAGGAGGGATGACCCTAAGGGCTGAGCAACAAATCACTCCCAGATGAGAGACTGAGGAGGGAGCAAAGTGAGGGACACTGGGGTCTAGGAGGCCCACGGAAGCCATAGGAAGGACATGCCAAAAGATATGGGTAAGAACCAGGAAAAGCCACACAAAACGGTTGATGATTGTGGTAGCAGCCTTTAGAGGGAGGTGCCTGGACTTGGGTGGCAGGGAGTCACCAAGCTGCAGAAACTCAAGGAACTATTTAGGGTGGTGACTGGCGAAATCTGAGAATATAGAGGAGTGGAGCATGAGCTTGCTGTGGTGGCACAGGTCTCTAATCCCAGCATTCTGGGAGACTGAGGCAGAAGGATCACAAGTAGGAACCCAGCCTGGGTAACTTAGTGACTTAGCAAGACCCTGTCTCAAAATTAAAAAAGGGTTGGGGATGTCACTCAGAGCAGAGTCCTGGGTGCAACCTCCAGGGTCCATAACCATTGGAGCCTGGATTCCCATTGTAAACTGGGAAGGTCAGGGAAGGCTCCAGGTCGTGGGTGTGTGCACCCAGCAGAGTTCCAGGTCAGGGAAGGTGAGCGATAGAGGGCACGAGGTGTCAGCATAGCAGAAAGGAAGAACAGGAGGAAGATAGTTTTGAACTTCTGGGTAATGAAAGGAGGGAGCTCTCCCAGAGAGAGATGGCAGAATCATAATGACTTAGTGGAAGAGAACCACAGAACAGGGAAAGGGCAGCCATACTTCTTTTGAGAGACATAGGAGAACGGAAGATAGAATTTGATTTGAGGGGATAGAGTAAGAGAAGGAAGTCAGGGTTTTCTAAGAAAATTGGAAAGGCCGGTGGTTCTTGAGGTGCTTGGGAGCCTGTGTGGGAATGGGAGCTTGAGGAGGGTGATGTCTTGGAGAAGTTAGCTTGGCAGAGGGGTCTGGGCGTGGCAGAAGATGCTTTGCCTCTTGGCTCTCCATACCAGAACCGGAAACTCGCCTATGTCACATCTGGCCCCACTTGCTCCTCCTACAGGGCATCCCGCAGGCGGTGTTTATTGGCCACGACTGGGCAGGCGTTCTGGTGTGGAGCATGGCCCTCTTCTTCCCCGAGAGAGTGAGGTGAGTGGGCCACGCGCAACTGGCATTTGCCGAGATTGTGGAGAGTTTAATCGCACTGGAGAGTTGGTCCTCAGGGAAGTGAACCCCTCAGCTCTTGGGCGCCCTTTGGCATATACACGTGGATAATGAAATTCACACATCAATGAGTGTGTAAATTAGGAAGCAGCCTCTGTTGGGACACACAGCTGAGGGCAGAGTGGCCAGTGGAAATTCAGGAAAACAAAGGCTGAGGGGAGGGAACTGGGGAGGTGGGGAAGCGGTGTTGAAGACACAGAACTAAGTCCCACAGGGGAGTTCAGCCTTGGGCTAGTGTCAAGGAAGTGTGGCCTCCAGGTCTCTCCTCACATGGTTATGGACAGATCACTCCACATCTTAGATCTTCACTTCCTCAGCCACGAGAAACAGTGAGAGCTCCCACCAGGATACACAGCCTATAAGAATGTGCAGTCTTGTGGCCACCATCATCCTATGCAAAGTCATCTCTAGAGGGGCATGTCCAGGCCTCCAGGTGACAGGTTTTAAACCCAGAGTGCAATGGTCTTTATGGACACCCCCTATCTGAGCTGCAAGCTGCAGGTACAACCTTCCGGATCCCCTTCTTAGCAAGTTGGGGAGACGCCAGGCTCAGCAGCCATCTGCATTTCCCCCAGCTAATGCAGTGGCTAAGTTTTGGGTGGCTAAGTTTGTAAGAATAGGACCAGCAGAGAACATTGTTCAACCTCAGTTCCCACAAGATTATGTCAAAGACTGAAAAGAAGCAGATGTTTCCCTAAAAAGTCTTAAATTTTTTGCACTGTTACTCTCCTGAGCCTCCCGTCCCCACCCCTCAACCCTCTCTCTCACTTGGACTGAATAAACCTTAGGTCTTAAGAATGGGGTTCACCAGGAAATGGTAGGCACATTACATGCTTTTTTTTAAAGGAACAAAAGGAAAGATTGCAATAAGCACATGATTTCTGTCTTAAAGGAGGAAAAAAATACCTTGATGAGAATTAAAAAACATTTAATGTAGGCAAAGTGAATGACCGAATGACGTCAGATCCAGAGTACTTCTGGTGCTCTAGGTTCCAGGTCCTCTCCATGTGGTGCTGCCTCTCTCCACCACATCCATGTGTCCTGGGGTGGCTGCCCCTGCACCTGCTGTCATGGAGTAGCCTTGTCACTGCCCACCTGTTCCGGGGTCTCTCCTGGTGGGACATACCTGCTGGAGATGGGGACATCTGCTAAGAATATCACTCACTACCTTGATCTTCACCTTTCTAGCCAGATAGTGAGTGGGAAGATAAACCCCCCTTCCTTTGCCTTTTAATCCTTAGGATGGCTTTCTACTGAGATAAACTATGGGCTCATTTAATGCAAGCTATTATCTTATTTCACGAAAAGTACCCTTTTCCATGCTTTCTTTGCCAGCCTCTTGGAGATTCTGTTCTCAAAGGAAGTTGGGAAGCTTTTCTGAGTTTAATGCCACCAGCAGTAGCATTTCTGTTCTGCCATTTCATTTTATAATGATAGCTTTTTAATTTACAAAATAAAGTATATGCCAAAGTGATCTAAAAACTCTGTTCCTCTCAGGATATGTAGTCAAATCTGGAATTTCCTGACTCCTGATTTAAATAATGCTGGAAATAGGTTTACCATTGTAACAGCATCGATGGCATCAATGTAGTTTATTTTGTACCCTTGTCCTGCTATGCAGTATGGCAGCCCCAGCACGTACTGCGAACACCTGAAATGTGGCCATCCTGAACTGAGTTTTTGGTGGGTGGAAGAATTCAGGGACTCTGTGAAGAAAGAGAGAGGTAGAGAGAGGAAGGGAAGGAGAGAGAGAACAAGGGCCAAGGAAAGGAAGAGTGAATGTGGGATATCTCATTAACGATCGTTAATATTGATTATACTTGAATTATTAATATTGTAGATCTATTGAGTTAAACATGAAAGCTAATCTCACTTTTTTATTTTTATGGGTTTTATTGTGTTAAAGAGATTTTAAATTATATATGTGACTTGGGTGACAGACAGGCAGACAGACCGTATGGCAGTCACCAAGCCTCATAGTTCCTCCCCTCATGATGCCACTTGCTCTGACCACCCCATTTTTCCTGTTCTGTGCTTCCCCCAGCCCCTCTCTTTCCTTTCTGAGAGGTTGCTCCCGCCTTGGTGTGAGACATGGAATGCTTTCCAGAATAACCAGGCTGACCATAGTCCTAGCGATGCTGCTTTAGCATTGTCTCACATCCAGTCCCCCTCTTCCTATTGCTGTCGCCCACTTCCTGTGACCAGTGCAGGGCTCTGCAGCTGACCTCTGCTCCCGGATTCTCTCTCTGCCTCTGTGTGCTCTGTCACTGCTTGATTCGTCTTCCTGCCTGCGACTTGGGGCCACTCTGCCCCTTCCCAGAGGCCCTCATGGTTTTCTTGGTTTCCTCCATATCAGGTCAAGGCTCTGGCTCCTGCATCCAGGCTCCCTCCTGCTTTCAGATTCATGTTTCTCAAGATGCTTGTGGTAAACACGGAAGCCTTTAATGGCACCGCCTCTTTGCTGTGTCCAGCAGAGCCACGTGCATTCCTCCCCTTTCAGAATTTGCTCACCCGTGATATCCCCCCAAGTATCGCTCCCCCAACTCTCTCAACCCTTAAAATCAAGTTCAAATGTTGTCTTGTCCCCAAGGCCTTCTGTGAGCCCCCAATTCAGACTTGCTTGATCTCCTTTGAACTCTCATGCTGCTTCAAGCTACTCTGATGGCTCCTATCAGAGCCACAAGAAAATACAGCCATGTGTCTGTCTCTCTCCTTAATCTCTTCCTAATAAGTGCCTTGGAGGGGCGAGACTATTATTTCTGTTACATTTTTCTCCCCTGGTACATAAATGGAATTATACTCTACACAGAAGAGAGACACAGCAAGTCAATGAAACACTCAATGAAAGAATGGGTAAGCAAAAAAGCAAATGTATTTTTTAACACTAGAAGGTCACACAAGTATCTGCATATTCTGATCTGATACCGTGCATACAGTATGTGTGTTTCCTGGCCTAAGGCAGGTGGGTGAGAAACAGTGCAGATGATAGATAAGAAAAACCCTTGGCCTAGGAATTTTGAAACCTGACTCCTAATCCCTAAGACTTTGTGCACCTAGTTTTTTCTGCCCCACCCTTCCACGTTAACATGCAAGAGGCTTTGTGGTTCTTACCGCTGTCTTCTTTCAGCTGCTTCGTGGCTTCTCTTGTTTCTGCAGAGCAGTGGCCAGTTTGAACACCCCCTTCATACCAGCAAATCCCAAGGTGCACCCCATGGAGTCCATCAAAGCCAACCCAGCCTTTAATTACCAACTCTACTTCCAAGAACCCGTAAGTGCTGAGGGCAGCGGGCCAGCCCAACAGGCCCACCCTGCTTCTCCCCTTCTCTCCTCCCCTTAGTTTGCTTCTGTCCCATTTCCTGTAGCATTAGTCAAAAATGATTTCACAGATGTTTGGGTGCAGCTGGCTGCGGAGTTCAGCAGGTCCCCTGCAAGTCTTGGTGGCACATTTCAGGGTGGCAGAGTGCAGGAGAGAAGTGGGTAGCACCACACTAGATTCTCCTCGATTCTTCTTTGAAACAGCGGGGTGGGAGCTGAGTGCTCACTCGGAGCTCCCCTTCTCCCTTTTCTGGCTGCCAGGCTGTAGAATAACCTCTCTTCCTGGTGACAATTCATAGCCTATCACCAGCAACTGGCATCTCTGCTCCCCGGGAATGAGCTGTGTGATTCTGACACCTAAAGCCGTAGAATCTCATAGCAGGCCCTAGAGATGCTGCACAAGTGTGGCCATTTTCTAGGCACCAACCTGTGTGACAGCACGATACCTTTCAGAGACAGCACGAGACTGTGGGTGACGCTACAATGGTGGATAGCTGCCATCTTTGGGGTTCACTGAGAAGAACAGAGTGAGTCAACTGCTCAGGAAGAATAAAGGTCCTTTCTCAGTACGGTTCCTAAGAAGGAGCCATGCACCCTGTTACACAGGAATTGCTGGCCTGCTACACAGGAATTGCTGGGTGTTTTGTGTACAGAGCTTTGCTCACTCCAGAGGGCTGACTGGCCAAACCTGGCCTTCCGTACCCATCTCAACACTGCTTTCTCCAGGACGCCACCCCAAATCAGCCTGCTCCCCCTGGGCCCTCAAATCTGCGACTGTGTGCTCCTAGGCTGCTGTGAGGGCAGGAACCCTCTTGCTCTTGGCAGCATCTGTGGCTCTGCTGTGGTCCTGGGGTTCAGCGGAGTCTGAATATACAGTAGTTCTCTGAGAGCAGGATCCTGAAGCTACATCCACATAGCTACCCAGTGACCCATGGTCTTAGGTCCTTGCACACGCAGAGGTCACTTTGTCTTGCCCTCCATCTGGCTTCCCTCGAGTGCCCTACATCTGTGCTACGGGAGCACATGGGAAGGAAAGGAGACATTTGTCATCCTCCCCTCAGTGTGATTCAGTTGTACCAGGGAATCAGAGCAAGACCCAGCAGCAGGAGGACGGACATTGCCCATGTTTGATGCAGAAGTGAAGGCCTGGGCCACCTGCGTGTCATCGGCCATGATGCTGTGGACAGTGGTACCTTGGTTGATGGATGCTTCTGTTCCAGAACGATTTGGCTCACAAATGGAAGCACTTAACAAGACTTGCTTGCAAAGACTTGCTTGTCTTTGCAAACTCCGCATCAGATGATGAACATGAACCCAGCTGTCTCCCCCAGAATTGTGGAATCAATTAAGTTCGTGAACTGGAGTACCACTCTGCAATAACTGATACCCAGCTAGACAGAGCTCCTCCTTCATGCTCCTGAGCATGTTAAAGGATGAATTGTAGAATGCACCCCATGTATTGTTAAGCCCCCGTCCTGACACTGCTTAGCTGGTACCTCTTCCTCCAGGGTCTCTGGGCTGGAATTGTCTAGTTTTGGTCTGACCTTTCACCATGTCATGAGTTTCCTATGCTCACACCCTGTGTTATAGTCAGGGGCTGCAAGGAGAGCAATTACATACAGGACACATCATTTATAGTCTTATTCATAATGGTCATCTAAGGAGTCAAATACAAAGAAAGTACAGGAAATCTGTTCTCAACATTAAAAACAGAAAGTCCAGCCAAGGCCCAGAATCCCATGGCCTCCAGCTCATGTGTTCATGAGTTCAGCTGAAACATGACAAATACCCATGCAAGTCTGTTTCACAGATCTGTGCTGGGAAGGCCCAAAGGTCAGCAGTGAAAGCCACAAAGTCTGTGCCAGTAGATTGAGGGTTCTGCAGTGAAACCAGGAAGCAATCCTCAAAATAAGGACCAGGACTCCCCTGAAAAGTACCACAGCCATCCTCTGTGACAGTGAAGTTCCAAGGTCCTCCAATGATGAGACCAGCCCAATTCATATCAGGAAACCCGTGTGACAAGCTTCTCTTGGAGATTAAACAGCACACAGCTTCCCCCAACGCCAAAGACCCCTGCAGAGCCAGGAAACAATGCTCAAAGGAAGGACCAAAGCTCCCTGGAAGTGAACCGCAGCCATTCTCAACAACAAGACCTCAAGCTCCTTTGGTGATAACAGCCAAGTTCTGAGGGAGCATGACAAGCTCCCCCAGGAGAACCAGTGGCTCCAAACAGACACTTAGGAGAACTAACAATGCCATTCTTCCTTTCCAAGTCTCCTTTTTTGTGCTTGCAACAATCCACAGGTGGGCCGTCCACAATCAGCACCATGCTGATTCAGTTCAGCTGGTGTTTAAATTGACCACCAGTTACCAGTCCACTACACCCTGTATTATTCATATTTTTATTCTCACTGGCAAAGCAAGGTCATATTAGACTTCCAAAAAAGGTTAGGAAGATGAGAAGGAGCAAGGAGAGAAAAGGAATATGAGATGACAACCTTGGTGGCTGTGTGTGTCTTTTCTGCCTGTATCCTTGTGTTGACAGAATAGTGGTTTCTTCCCATTTTGCAGAACTATTTTTACCCACAGACGTGTCCCACATAGGAATGTTGGTGTTTGTTTCTCGGCTGTCTCTGCAGTTTCCTAAGCTGATTCTACCCAGCAGGACCTCTGCACACCTGTGCCGTGTCAGGTGCGGTCACCAGAGACTGGTGTCTGCCAGATGGCACATGAGCTGGAGGCAGAGGTCCTTGTGGGCGTCCAGAGTGCCGGTTAGCTGGGGGACAAAGGTGAAATGCCATCTGGTTTGGAGGAGCTGGGGGAACCTGAGGCCCTGCACTTCTGTCCAGCTTCCAGCTCTGTAACTGGAGCCGCAAGGCCACCCACCCTCAAAACTCTGAGTCTCACCTGCATGGCTAGGGCTCCCTCAGATAAAAACACTCTCTTTCTGGGCACCAGAGGAAGCTGCTGCTCCCCAACATCCATTCTGCTGCCTCCTCCTCTGTGTTGTTGGCCGCCTGCCCAGTTCCCCACTGCTGCTTCAGGCCCTGGAGCTTATACTCATCTCCATGAACCCTCCAGATGCTGGCACCTACTAGAAGGGGCATGAGCTCTCTCCACACCAGCCACAGTATTCCTGACATTTAAATATATTTTTAATGGTCCTTCCCTCACCAGCATTCAGGGCATCTTTGGTTTGTAGTAGACAGATGTCTTCTGAATGTAAACACAAAAGAGTGAGAAGACGGTAAACAGAGGCAGAAAAGCAAGGAGCACACACACAATGCCAGGCCCTCCCTGCAGTCTGGACTCCCGTTCCGCGCAGCCCAGTGTCCGGGCCATAGTGCTGGAAGCCAGCGGGATCTCTAATAGGTGAAGTAGTCATATGTGATAGTGCTCCTAGGAGACAGAAGAACCTGTCGGTCGTCGCCATGCAGGGCAAGTGTCTCAGCTTGTAAGCAGTGAAAATTTGCCGCTCTGTCCTCAGGAGGATAATTTCTGGCACTCCGATGGTCTGTAACTGTTTAGGCCCAACCCACAGGAGTCGGTTTAGAAGTCACTGCAGTAAATCTGAGATGTCTGCATTCAACAGCTCTGGAATTACAGCATTTGGCCTTTGGTGTTTGTTGTCTCAAAGTCCTGGGAGCTTTTCTGCTCTTCTAACCCCCCATGATCCCCAAACTATTCCTCCATCTTATCTCATCCCTACAGCTGCATGCCCGGGCTCCACTGTTAGCAGCTTCTATCTTCATCTTTTTGCAAACATATATTTCTGGATGAAAATTCAAGAGAATGTTGCTTAGGCGGAGGGACACAGGCATGGTGCTCTTTCCGTCAGGCAGACGGGGCACGAGCATGGTTAGGGTGAGGGTGAGGGTTAGGGTTACAGTGAAAGTGAGTGTGAGCGTGAGGGTTAGGGTCCTTCATTCCACTTTCTCACCTGTTCTAGGGAGTGGCGGAAGCTGAGCTGGAACGGAACCTGAATCGGACTTTCAAAACCTTCTTCAGAGCCAGCGATGAGGTGAGGGCTGCTGTGGGTTTTGAAAGGGAATGAGTGACCTACTTTGAAGGAGGAGGGTCCTGGGGTGCAGCCAGGCCTGGGAACTAACAATTTGGCTATCTCATCTTCACCATTGTAGTCAGAGTGTCTAGGGTCCCCACTCTGCTGTCCCCCTATTAGTGAAAGAGAGTCACATCCTCACTGTCACACAGGAGGGAACACGAGTGATACTAGTGATGGTTTGGAAACTGTGGTATCGGATTATGATTTATTATAAACCCAGATACCGAGTTCAGTCACCCAAGTATTACAATCCTCTTTCTAGCTTTCCTCACAATCCAAAAAGTTATATTTGTAATCCCATTGAGACATTATTGGAATCCTGGCCAGTCAATTCCAATCTACCACCACCAATGCAACCCACGGTGAGAGTAAAGACACCAAGACATGTTCCAAGTTAAGGGCAGCCAAGAGGACCCAAGTCCGTTTCCCGTAAGGACATGTGGACAAAGGCCTCGATCCCAGGCCTCTCCCAGCATTTATTCTCTTGTGAATATTCTCTTGTGAAGAAACATGGGGGTGGCTCAGGGATGAGTGATAGTCAGGATGTCAGGGATTACTGAGTAACTTGAGCTGGCTGGCCAGGTGCAAGAGTGGCATCTCTGTAATTTGCAGAGATAAAGACATGCAGAAGGATCAATTTACATAACCTAATGAAGGTGGCAGTGGAATTGTTTTAGGAGGCTATTGCTTTGGTTTTTGATATGCAAACTCTTGTGCCCTGGGGAGTCATAGCCTCTTATCTTGAGGCTCCTACCCAGTTGACATTCCTGGAGCAAATTGCTCTACATCTTCCCAGCTCAATCCTGTATTGTGGAGAGCACCATTCGAGGAAACAGGGCTGTCTGATAGCTAGACTTTGCACATTAGCACCTCGGCTAGCCTTATTTGGAATGCTTAGAGCCAATTGAAGAGAGAAGCAAATACCCTAGCCAGCCTTTCACATATCAGTATATAAGGAAATGAATCTCCAAGTAATCAAAGTCATAGTAATTGTTTTGGATTCAAAGGGAGACACTGGCGTTGTCTCCCACAATGAATGAATCTGCATACTTGACTTAGCTGTGTCACCCTGCTGGGCAGAGGCTGGGCACTGTATCTCCATACCCTGCACCCTCCGGTCTCCTCTTAGTTCTCAGCCCTTCTATCCTGTGTGCACTCGGCACCTACTTGAACTTTCCCATGTTTTCCTGTTTCTTTCTGACCACTCCTCGCATCTTTCTCGTTGAGTCGTCATGTTGAGTTTAGTTGCTTTCTTCCTGGAGTGCCTCCTTTAGTGGCTCTCTAGTAAAGTCTGCTGGCTAGGAGTGCTGATGAACACCTGTGATCCCAGCATGCTGGGAGGCTGAGACAGGAGCGTCACCAATTGAGCCTAGCCTAGGCAGTCAGTATATTGACTTAGTGGGAACCTGTCTAAAGCAATAAAAATAAAGCGACATTTTGGCATATAGCTCAGTGCGAAGGCCATGGATTCAATCCTCAGTACATCCTCAACTCTCCTCCCCACACAAAGTCCATTCGTGGTGAAGTCAAAATATTTTGTCCTGACAATGAATACATTAGAAATGTTCAACATCATTGGCTATTCGAGAAATCCAAGTTAAAACATCACAGATTCCATGTCATTCCAGAAACAATGGTCATCATCAAAAAATTAAACAATAGCAAATACTATTGAGGCTTCTGGGGGAGAAAAGGAATTGTTCCACATCATTTGGTGGGAGTGTGTTGGTACAACCGACATGGAAGTCAGTATGGAGAGTCCTCAGAAAAGCTCAAACTAGAGGTTCCATTAGACCCAGCTGTTCCTCTTCTTGGTGTCTTCCAGTAGCACATTCCTAATAGCTAAACCTTGGAAGCAGCCTGTGTTTCCATCAGTGGGTGAGCAGATAAGAAAATGCCGTCCCATAAAGAAGGACAAACTCCAGTCATTTGTAGGAAAACGGATGCAGCCGGAGACTGTAATGTGAAGGAAACCAGACATCAAGCTTAAGCACTGCACGCTTTCTTTTGTGTGAGAAACCCATGATGTCAATAAAGTGCACAGCGAAAGACAGGAAAGAGACACACAGAGACACAGAGTGGAGGAAGTTCCTGCAATCCCATGGCCAGTGTATCTAAAAGTGGACTTTAATTGTCTTCAGTGTCTTTCATGTCTTTTGCCTTGTTAGTCTGGCTGTTAATCTGTGTTCATGATAATTAACTTGATAGAGACTTCTTAAAGAAAAAAATACGATGCTGGCAAAATATTTTTCAAAAAACAGGTGGCTGGGAAGGGGAAAAAACTGAGATGTGATACCCACAATGAGTATATTCATTATATACTGCATGCATGTGCTAATAAAATAATAAACAAAAAGAAAAGAATTTTTTAAAGCAAAATTAAAAAGGCTACCTTGGCCTGAAAACTATTTTTGCTTTTAATCTTCAAAAATGGTCTATCCAAGGATGGACTTTTCTTGTTGTTGCTTTGGAAGAATCTGCCTCAAGGGTGTACATTTCCATATATTAATTAATTGCTTTTATACACGTATCACAAACCTGTGCTCTGTCCCTGCTTTGAAGTTTTTTTTTAATTACAAAAGCTATTTTTATTCATGAAAGTTGTATTTGGTACTTTCTCAAATCATTCCAATGTGTTCTGAGAGGCATGTTAGTCCTGTTTTCAGTTCCCTTTATGTCTTTAATCATCTTAAACACACTCACGTGTGATTTTCTTTCCCTCTTCTGTTTTGTTTCATGTGTCTGATTGTGTCTTACTTTGGAGAGTCATGCTTTGCTGGTAGCTGCACTGGCCGTCTCTTGCTGAGGGGCTGTGTGTGTGGTGACTGGCCTGAGGCCATGTACACAGCGGCCCTCCATACCCACGAGCCTGCTTCAGTCTGCACTGAGGAGCTGACCGTCTCGGGGCTCTGCCTTCCTCTGGAGCAGCGTATTGGTTGCGTTACCCGCCCCATTTTACTTTGCTATTTGCATCATACGTCAGGCTTTCCTGATCCCACAGTCAGAGTGAAATCAGACACAAGTGTGGGTGAAAGCGGGTTAGTGCTGTGAAGTTTTAGGACTCTTTTTTTTTTTTTTTTTTTTCTGTAGCAAGCTGAGAAGGGTAAATGTCCCTAACATCTGTTGCCATGGTGGGTGGATTTTTCCTAACCTGCCCTTGAACTAAGAGTGTAAAGCACTAGACTTACCATGGAGGGGCAGGCAGTGTCTCATTCTTTATTTTTTAAACCAGATTTTACACATTTTTTACATACATAATGATCACATTCATCCTAGAGAATTTGCACCTGTACACTTTATTCTTTTTTCTCCATTCACCTACCCTCCCTTCAGCCCCTCTTTCCCTCCCTTTGACAAAAGCCTTGGTTCCATTTTTTCCTTCTTTGATCATGTTTTTCACTTTTCTCTTCTTTCCTCCTCCCCTTTCTCTCTTAGACATTTTCTTCCTATTTCACAGTACCTGTTAAACATTCTGGTCCTGAGTTACGCTTTCAGATTCTCACATCAGAGAAGCACTGTGGTGTTTACACATATGTGTCTCACTTATTTCACTAAAGAGTGTGGTCTCCGTTTACCTAGGAATGTCTCAAGCTATTCCCTCTTTATGGCACAGTAGTATTCCATTATATTTTTTAAAACCCACATTTTCTTTCTTCATTCATCCAGGTGATGAGTGTTTGGGCTGTATCTAGATATGGCTATTACGAACTATGCTGTGATAAACATGGGAGTGCATATACCGCTATGGTGCGATGCTTTTAATTCTTTGGGGACGATACCCAGACAAGGAATAGCTGGGTCAACTGGGACTTCTACTCGTTTTTTGAGGAATCTCCACACTGATTTCTGCAGTTATTACCCCAGCCTAGGGAGTGTCTCATTCTTGGTCCTTCACCCATAAGAGATCTCATCTCATAGACCAGTTGGTCGATAAGTCCAAACTTGAGGTCCAGATTGAAGCCATCTCAGGCCAGAGCTTTGTCGCCAACACTGACTCATGAACAGTTCTGTGGGGGCTTAGCGAGCTTGTGACAGGATGGTCCTCTCTTGTCCATGACTTCACTTTCCATGGCTTCAGTTATTCTGTGTCAACCATGGTCCATAAACATTAAATGCAAAATTCCAGAAAAAAGAAATTAGTAAGGCTGGGGATTTAGCTCAGCGGCATAAACACCTGCCTTGCAAGCAGGCGGTCATGAGTTCGATCCCCAATTAAAAAAAAAAAAAAAGAAAGAAAAAAGAAATTAGTTTTGCATCCTGCACCATTCTGGGTGAGTATAATGAACCCTCACGCTGTCCCCCTAGGGATGTGAATCATCTCCTTGTCTCTGAGGCCACATGCACATACCTTTCATTACAGCATGGCTATAATCATCATTTTATTATTAGTTATTGGCCATCTCTTCTGGACCTCATTTATGAAGCGAGCTTTGCTGTAGCTGTGCGGGCACATATCATCAGTGTGTAAGTACCTAGGATGCAGCATGCAGTTCTGTCCAGTCCAGTCCACCTTGGGCTTCATCCTGAGGGGTCTCAGACAGATCCCTCTCTGGGGTCGTCTGCATGGGACCATGGCAGCCTGCATGGCACTCGCTGGAGTTTTGTTGTAACCAGGCTTTCTGAAGACCTGTTTCAGGATTCTTGCTTTGCTCCCCTGATGTCTTTTCTAACCCTTTTCTTTCCACAGGGTTTTGTCTCTACACACAAAGTCACTGAAATGGGTAAGAAGCCATGTGACCCAGGTTCCTGTGCTGTAGGGAGCTGTGGACAGGGTTCTAAGCAGCAGAGCTGGGAAGGTTGGGGAGCTTGATGGGAGGATTCCACCTGTGCTGATGAGGGCTCCAGTCTGGAGAAGAGACCTTTGGGGTCACCCTGAGTGTGGGAGGTGCCACCCAGTCCTCCTCCATCATCTGCTGCCCCCAAGATCCCTGTTCTGGTCACTCCAGGAGGCCTCCAACCCTCCCATTCTCCCCGTGGGGCTGGACCAAAGTGAGCAGCTGGAGTAGACCTCAGATCAGAGATTTGTTTCCACAAAACTCTACTTTTTCCCCAACACCATGTCCTTGCCATTGTCCTCTTGTATTTTATTAATAGTGATGACCACTGCCACCACTATGAGCATTAGACACTGGGCTCTTCCCCCTGTAGGTAGATTCCTTACAGTCCTCGTAGCATGACTGGTATCGCTGTGGTGATCTCCATGCAACAGAACCCGTCTCAGAGGGTCGCCTTACCCAGAAGTGCAGAGCTGGGGTTAAACGCCTCTGACTCCGAGCCACCTGATCCAAGGGTGCCCCTCTGTCCCCCCACTGCTTTGTGTTCTCACACACCGGCTCCTTAGTGCATTCATTTACTCGGCTGCACCTTCCCCGAAGGGAGGCACAGCAGCAATGGGGTGAAGATAGCAGTTAGGGTGTGCTGAGGGCTGAGGTGCTGAGGCATAGTCTGTCACAGGCGATGCGTGGTCACAGAAGTCTACACTGGCTGGCTCCGGGACCTTGGGTCTGAAAATGGTGAGCTGGGCCATTTGGGTGCCAGCATTAATACCTGGGTGCATCATCCTTTTGTTGCCAGCTGTCACCATAAGTGGCCCTCTCAGGGGACTGGCTACTGCCAGCATGCAGTACCTCTCTGAAGACAGATGGGCTCCTACACAGAGAACCCAAAGGGGGGTCTGCTGCAGAACCCTTCTTGGCCTCCAGTTCTTCGTGGCCACAAGGAAGTATAGAGAGGAAATCTTGGTAGAGGCCTCTCCAAGGGGGTGTAGCTGGAGGAAGAGGTTTAGTCTAAGGGAGCACAGGAGGTGGGGGCAACCTGGCCTGGAACAGCGTCGATCCCAGCAGGAGCACCAGCCTGAGCGTGGGTGACGCAGGCGACTTATTTCAGGAGGACTCTTAGTGAGAACCCCAGAGGATCCCACCCTCAGCAAGATGGTCACCGAGGAGGAGATTCAGTTCTATGTGCAGCAGTTCCAGAAGTCTGGCTTTAGGTAAACAGAGGACAGTGCCCCTGACCCAGGGCCAGGTGGCCTGAGGAATGGGAACCCCGGTGGTCCCCCTCCACCACAGTCCCCCGTGCGCTCAGGCCCACCTGTGCTTCAGTGTCTCCCCTGTCGGGCAGCTTGCTGCTGCCTGGGACTTGGCTGAGATAGCCCCGCTCACTCTATGTCGTGGGCCTCCCACAGGGCAGAGCTGTTTAGTGCTTTCCTAGTCACAGCTCCTCTGAGGAGACAACGGTTCCATTTGCAGGGAAACACAGAAATCTGTAGCAGTAACACGCAGTCAGCGTGGGGCCTTTGTGTGGCCTGCTGATGCTCCTCTGCAGTGGGTTCTGGGGAGCCGGGGAGTGGCCCCCAGGCGCACAGGGCTAAATCACAGTCCCGAGCTCAGCAGCCTCCCCCAGCCTCACACATCCCACTGAGGGCCCCCAGGCTGCCCTTTGCTGGAGTCCTCTGTCACTGCCCTTGGCTGGGGCCTGGACTCTTTCCTCAGAGCCTGCAGACAGCTGCTCCCCCATGGGCGCTGGTTCTGGCCTGGGGTCCCCGTGGGGACTGCAGCAGTCACAGCTTACCTGTGTGTGCTCTGACCGTCCTTAGAGGCCCCCTGAACTGGTATCGCAATGTGGAACGGAACTGGAAGTGGGGCCTCAGAGGCACGGGACGGAAGGTGAGTGCTGTACCTGCCCCTTCCCTGGTAGCTGTGGATGGACTTGGGATAGGAGCTGGGTCAGTGCTGGGCCGTGTCCTGCATCCTTTCCCTCCAAGTTCTGGGACAGGACTCCTCTCACAGGCCTCCTCTGAGGTCACTTCTCCATGCCGTGCGTCCCCTGGGATGTCCAGGTAACTGACTGAGGCAGCAGATGGGCCAGGCTGTCTCCCAGAGTGACAGGGACCTGGCCACAGGGGCACAGAATGGTCTCAGGCCTGCCTTTGACCTCTGGTTTTCCTTTTGGGTTGCCTGAGTCTGTTTCCTCATGTACCAAGCAGACGGTAGGTTTCTAATCCCTGGGTCAGGCAGAGGGAATAATTTTACATTCACAACATTACAAAGCAAGACTAGGCATTTAGCTCAGCAGCATCAGTGCCTGCCTGGCAAGCACAAGGTCCTGAATTCGATTTCTGATACCAAAAGTTAATAATAACAACAATAATTACAAAGCAGTATTTCAAGTTGCAGGCCATAGGCAGCTTCCTGGGAGCCTGGTAATCTGTGGGCTCCCGTCCTGTGAGTGAACACCCCAGAAATAAGCCAGGCCTTGAACCCAACCTCAGGGAAACCACAGCCAGTGATGCAGGCAGCGATGACCTCCTGGAATGGGTTCTGGTCACCAGAGCACAGGACATCATGGTTTAAAGCAGATGGGAAGCGGGTAGGGCCTGTGACATTGGGAAAGGCACCGGACCTGTCTGAGCCTGTGCTACCTACTCTGCAAAAAGGAAATAACAAAAACAAAGCCTCCTTTGATGAGGAACTGGTCGTATGTGGGGTTAAGAACAGGTGCTTGGCACAGGGTATTTGCTCCACTGATTTTCATCATTGTCACTGGTATAGTCTGTGACTGACAAAAGTTACCCAGGTGCGGCTCCACAGACCAGCTCTCACACACATGGAGAGCAGCAAAGGCACTGGGAAGGTGACCTCCAGTAGCATAGGCTGGGGACCCCCTCCTCCACCTGCACCTGCAAACTCTTGCTCGCTCCTTTCCCCCTCCTCTCAGGCACCTCTGCCAGTTTACACTGACTTGGAACATTCTAGAATTTAAAGAACCCCACAGCAGTGACCAGAGAGCAGGGTCAGGCACAAGATCTCCTTGGAACTTTCCCTGACTCCGGAAGAGGGGTGTGTAGAGAAGCCACTCACCCCACATTGTAACTAAGAAACGGGGCGAGTTCCCCAGCCATGTCCTGTGAGACAGCTTGGACGTGACAGAAATGGTAGCAAGAGAACATAGAGAAAGCAGGGGCTTCCTTGGCCTCCAGGTGCCCATCCGCCAGCCAGCAGGTCAAAGTGATGTCATTTCTGCTGGCTTCAGTGTCACCTTGCTAACCACAGTGGCTGCCCCTTTTGCTCTCTGGAGCCCTGGTCACTTTGTTTTAGGAGACAAAAGGAATGTTGGCCCTTGTCCTCCTCCTGGTGCTGCAGAGTCAGCTCCAGCCACAGAGCACCCAGAGCTCACGCTCTGACACACCCACGTGATGCTGGTCGAGTGTACCTAAACCCTCAACCTGGAGATGTCTGGGAATAAGGGTGACTCCCTCCTGCTCAGCTTGGCAGAAACAGCCTGGACTGCATCGGGAAGCGGGTATCCCTCGGGTGGTGATGGTTTAAGCCAGCACACACATGCACACCCGCACACATCCACACACACAGGGGGTACTCATGTTTGGGTGGGGCAGAGGGCATTGGCATGGAGTGCCGCTGCTCCTGTGTCCTGTTCCCCACCAGATCCTGATTCCGGCCCTCATGGTGACAGCAGAGAAGGATTCTGTACTTGTCCCTGAGATGACCAAGCACATGGAGGACTGGGTGAGGGAACAGCCCTGTCCAGGGTCATGAGTGCATCCTGGGAGAGGGAGGTCACGGGTGTCCAGTGGGAGACAGCAGCAGAGAATGGGACAGTCGGCTAAAGGCCTGGTCACTGACATCACTGTTCCCTGACTGCCACTGCCTTGTCCTGTGCTGGTCTGGTCCCTCCTTCCTTTCCTAAGTGATGGCACAGGGCTCCCTGGGGGTGGTCTGTGGGGCACGGAGGGAAGGGTCCCCTCCCAGGTTGTCCTCGCTGTCATTGTCACTAACCTGAAACCGAAGCCGCTCGCCCTTCGCTGCTTACCTGGATGGGCTTTTCTTTCAGATTCCCCACCTGAAAAGGGGCCACATTAGGAACTGCGGACATTGGACACAGATGGAGAAGTAAGGAGATTGGAGGTCCCTGGGTGGGGGTCAGGTCTCCCCGCTTACTGTTCCCCACTGGGAGCCCTGCAGGCTTCACACTGTCAGCCTTGGCCTTGGCACTTGGGCGGCCTCAGTGTAAACTCCATGTGTCCCCTTCCAGACCCGCCGAGGTGAACCAGATCCTCATTGATTGGCTGGAGGCCGAAGTCAAGAACTCAACTCCCCTCTC